CCCATAGTGTGGCCGTTCCCAGACCTCATCCAAGCCAGGTAGCCATACAGACTGTTGTTGAGCCCAGTGGGAGCCCCGTGATTTGTGAGGACAGAAATCTAACTCTCCCATCTCTACAAATGTGTTGGTTTTCCTACAATGCCTGTGACTTCAATGTCTTTTGAGTTTCTCACCACTCTACCACGTTTGGCTGGAACTGGACAGTAAAGCACTAGCTTCTGGGAGGATGAGGGTAGGGGGAGCAAGACAGGTAGGGGGAGCAGGGATGATGATGGCTTTGCATAACTCATTTTGAAGGGTAACCCAGCCTGGCTTTGTTTTCTAGTAAGTGTGGAGAGAAGTTGGGGCTTGGGATAGTTCTCTAGCCTCTCACTCATTGAACACTACAATGATGGCTAAGGTGTTTCCTGTAACCCTGCTGAATTTCATGGACTCCAGACATACGTCTGACCAAGCATGGCAAACAGCAGCAGTGGGATGAAGCTCTGTGCAGTGTCAAGCACTCTTTGTACAAAAACTGGGAAGAATTTGAGCAGAAAGATCTGTCATGCCAGAGCTTTTGCCTATGAGAGAACATGACCACAGGGCAATACAGGCTAGAAGGGATCTCAGGAGGTCTCCAGTCCAACCTTCTGCCCACAGCAGGGTCAGCTATGAGGTCAGAGAAGGATGCTCATAGCTTTTCGCAACCTGATCTGTGAAATCCCAGTGGAGGAGACTGCACAGCTTCTGGTTTCACTGTGCACCAAGCTTTGTTTCCATCACAACACAGCTCCCTGAGACAGGGGTGGACAGCAAAGGTAGGGCATCTGACCTGCCTCCAAACAGGAAACTTTGGAGAGGTCCTCAACCTTCTGTATCAAACAAACCAAACCAAGAGATTTGGGGTCCCACGTGGATACCTTCTCATGCCCTTCCTCTCCTTTCTCCATGTACATTATGTTTAGCCATACTAATCCTCCCATAAGAGTCTGCCATTCTTAGACAGTAATTAATGTAGAATAACAAACTTGTACGCCCTGAGCAGATTTGATTTGGAACATGTTGATATATTTGGCACAAGAAACTGAGTCACTGATTATATTCCATCTGGTACTTGTTCGCTTCTTGCTACCATGCCAGGAACACAGGTGCTAAAAATTGAATACTATTGCTCTGCATTTATGAATCTATATTGCACTCGGTGCGCAATAACTTAAAACTTAACTTTCACTTTTTGATAGTGATATTAGGTAGAATTGCCACTTTTTAAGTCTATGTCTTTTCTCTCTAGCCCCCCAAAAGGAAAGAAATCTTCCAAACAGATCTATTTCATAGGCAGAGAATGAAACAGAGAGTTTAATCATAATGCCTGTGCATGGCTTTCAGATGACATCTGTACGTTAAGAATATGTAAAAATACCAATTTCATGCTCTGACAACTTATTCTGCATTGATGGGGGATAACGCCATAGGAATGCCAAATGTCAGAGCATTGCACAATGCAAAGCATTCACACACTGTCTCATGGGTCATCACCGGTGGTTCCTTAAGGGAAATTTTCCAGTGGAAAAAAAAAAAAAAGAGAGAGAGAGAGAGAGAGAGAGAGAGAGAAACTGACTGGGAGCTGCCAAAACAAAATGGAAATCACAAAGTCAGAGTTAACTATTGGCAGAGCAGCTCCAAGACCTCAAGAACGGAGTCCTACCTGCTCTGAGCCGTCCCTTCCTTTCTGTAAGAAGAGGAAATACGCCTCTACCCATTTCAGAAGCTGCAGGTGGACTCAAAACAGTTTTACACTGGAAACGTGCACCCTCTCCACCCCTTCACATTCTTTTGAATGACTTGTTTTGGCAGACCTGCAGGGCCTGAAGGGTAACCCTTCCCCGGGCACAGGACCCCTGCAGCAGGGGGCAGCAGAAATGCTGTTTTCCGGTGGATGGCTGCTCAGGGACAAGCGGAGCCAACGGGCATCATCTCCTCGCTGGCTTGGTCCGCCTGTCCTTGCACCAAGGGCGTTGGCTCTTTACAAGAGAAGGGACTTTTTTTTTCACCTGAAAATTCCGAGGATTTTTATTTGCCCGAATTGGGAGACAGTCGGAACACCGCTGCAATTATTTTGCGAGAAAATTAGGGTGGTTTGGGAAAGGAAATGTTTTCTCAGAGAAGATTTAATAGTGTTGGGAAAGCAATCCTGTCCTCCAGAGCCCACCCTCCGCACAACCGCTCTGAGGGACGCGCACGGGGTTTTGGAGCCCGAGCGCCGCTCTGCACCGCCGGAGGAGAGCGGGCAGCGCTCAGCATCCCTCGGCGCCCGGCCCGCTTCCTCGCCGCCCTGCAGACAAACCACGCTCTGCTCCCTCCGGCCCTTCTTCCTCCCTTTCCCTCGCTCCCGTTCCCTCTTTCCCTTCTCCCTGCCTCTCCATCCCCTCGCCCTGCCTTCTCCCCGGGGCCGCCCCGCAGGCTGCCGCCCGCCCTCGCCGCTCCCGCCCCCCGCTCCGTTCTCCCCGCCGACCCTCCGCGAAGCGGCGCAGCCGAAGCTGTAACTAACAAGCCGTGAGGCGCCGCGGAGCTGGCTCCGTGGAGCTCCGTAATTACACTCCCTCCCCTCTCCCGCTGTTCTGTTGAAGCTGCAAAGCAGAGCACCGGGAGGAGGAGGAGCGGGCCAGGTGGTGGGTGGGAATTTAATTAACTTCTGAGTGCTCCCGTTCCTGCGGCGAGCACGGGCCGCAAGTCGGGACGTCGTGCGGGATGCACAGCCGCGCAGCGCCGGGTCCGGGAGGTTTCCCCGGTGGGACCCAGCAGGGGAAGCCGCCCAGCGCCTCGAGGTCTGCCGGCGTTCCTACGACGGCTTTCCCCCCCCAGTTCAGCGCAAAGCCTTCCGAAAGGGATGTTCCTGGCTAGGGCATTTCAGCTTTTGAGCACAACAAACTGGAGGTGACAATAGGAGGCAGCTGCCACCTCGTTTATTTGTTAGTGGCTCATCTGCTTTATCTCCTTCTTGCTCTCCTGCCTGGTGTTCCCTGGACAAACCCAGCTTCTTTGCAGCCCTAAGCCCTGTGAGAGGCCTTCTGCCCAGCCAGGTGCTCGTGCTGATGGAGCAGCTCTGCCTCCACACCTCGAGGGACAGAACTCCCTCATCCCCTAAGATGTGTGCATTTTAGCAGACCAGGACCGACAAAAATGGAACTCTCAGCCCAACCACCACACAAAAGCAATCCTTGCTTGCAGCTGCTGGATGTAGGCACTATGGCTGTTGGGCATTGCTTGCACGAGTCATTGACAGCATCACTCAGCACAGGAAACCAGTCACAAACACAACCCATCTCCTTACATGAGTCCAGGTATAAATAACTTTCAGTGGACTGCAAAACTAAGATCTTAAAAACTTGGCTATGCACGCTTAGTTTGACTTCCTTGCAGGCCTGCACTCTTCAGTTGCATTCTCATGTTTTTCTGGACTGGAAGAAACATTGCAAAAAAGACCAGTAACATGGCCAAGACTCGTGTTATTCCCCAGCAATGCTCTCAGACAGGCCAACTCTGTCTAGCTGCACATTCTAAGCAAAGTCCCACAGGCCATCTCACCACACAGGACTGATGTGAAGTGAACCTACAGGCAACAGAAAGTAGCACCCACGCGTGGGCACCTTAACAACAAGTAGCACTGCTGAGTATAACTCCGGATTTCTCCACAGCATTTCCTACAGCACTTGAAATCATACATTAAAAAGAGGAAGAGTCCTGCAGGTTTCCTCGTGGCCGCGGGGAGAGCAGAGGCTGACAGCACCGAGGTGCTGCAGCCCACAAGCAGTGAGGCTTGCACAGAGCCTACCAACAGAGCTGCACATTCTTGGGTGCCACCTACTGGCATCTGGACTGTATAATGCCAGTTTACACACGTGGGAAACCTCCACATTTTTTCCCTTTTACTCTTAAAATGCTTAAAGCTTGTGGTGTAGTAACAACTGGACTTTTGCAGTCTGGAAGATTCGGGGACCTGAACTGTCTCCAAGCAGTTGGAGATGTTGCAAATTCTCCTCTGCAGCATTTCTGAATGACCCCATCTACCTTTAGAATCTTGGGAAGTAAACGGGATGTCCTCCCCACAGGAAGCAAAACCCAGCAGAATGTGGAGGACAGGGGGCTCACAGCATCAGCAACCCAACAAAAAGGGGCTGCCAGCCCTTCTCTTCTAGTTGGCGGTGCGTCTTGGAGCCCGAATCTCCATGCTCAGGGCCTTCCAGTGATTGCACAAGTCAGTGCATACCACATGGGAGGTGCTCAGAGGATGTGAAAGGTTGGCACTGAGTCCAGATGCAAGACAGCTCATCGTTCATGAAGGAGGATTCAGTCTGGTTAAGTGTGAAAGGGAGCATGTGTGAAATTGTCACTGCCTGAGAGCATCACATGTAAATCCCATTGCATGTAGTGCAGGCAACCCAAAAATGCTCCGCAGCAGCAACATACACATCTGTACAGTGGACCTATGGCCCTTCCCCTCCCAGGGTGGAGGCAGTTTGGACTGTATGACCTACAAGCTCTGAGGAGGGCTGTTTCTTCAAGGAGAAGTAAAAGACATGAAGGCAAACAAGTGACCTTACTTTTTCTATGCCATATGAAGGCAAAGTCAGTGCTGCACAACATACTGTGCTTCACCCTTTACAGCAGTGACTGTTTTCCAGACAGGCTCAGTAAAAGTCGTTCTGTCTCCTCTTGACCTCACCTGCACACAGAATTTGCTGAACTAGAAAAAACTGTGTTGCAAGTGCTGGGAAAGACACGAACTCTTACAGAGGGAGGCTAACTATGAATGCTATCAGCATGCACTTGGAGGAAAATTTTGTACTGCTTTCCCTTACCCATCTACACTGATGCAAAGCTGAGCAATACGAGCCACGCCAAGTGTCCATCACAGGGACATCACAAACATGTTTAAATAGGGCTGGGCCAGGACATCAAGACGAAGTTTGGTGAAGGGCAGCAGGGTCAGACAGCCTCAGGACAGGAATGTGCATCAGTGTCCTTAGGGCCCAGGCAATTGCCTATTGTATTACAACTCAATTTCATCCTCTTGTCATATCAACAGCAATGTTTTGCAACGTTCTACAATTGTTTTACAACAGTTGATTTTGGATACATTTGAGAGGGTTTTTGTAATAAGTAGAGGTAGGAAAAAAAACGAACAGTATTCTCCTGAAAGATATCATGATTAGATTGCTGGAAATTACCTGCTGCATATATCAGGTGCCATAGTTCTGTTTCTGTTCCTAGGGTCTGCCTGCAGGCAGCTAGGAAAGAAAACCTTCCTACTTGCAGGTTGTTCATTTTTCTTCATTACTGGCCCAAAGCCTGGGGGATGAGAGAACTGGATCATTTTGCCCTTCAAGACACACTTTTCCAGCCAACACATACATGCTAATGTTCCCAGACTCAACACACAGGCTGCAATTACATGCCAGTAATGTTGAAAATGCAGTATTAGGAAAGTCCCTATATAAAGGCTTACAAAAATGGAAAGTGAAAGCTCTGGGCTGTCCCTTGGGGGTCCACTGGGAAAGCATGCTCAGCACCATGCCTGGTGCCTCAGGGACTGCTAGCAGGCCCTAAGAGAATGATCCCTTGTGGTCAGCATCAGCAGCATGTTACCTTGAGCTGCCAAGGCAGTTATCTGGGAAAACAGCCAGCTGGTAGTGTCCAGAGTCAGCCAGCCTTTGTGGGTACGACAGAAGAGAGAACATTTCCCATTAAATGTACGTACACAGATATATATGGGAGCATTAGAAATTGTGTGGTGACATTAACGAGAATGATAAATTGGGCCTGTTTCAACTCATAAAGCAAGACTGGTCCTCCCTAGCAGCACGTACTACTTACCCCTTCCTCCCCCCCATCCACAAATAATGCTGCACCACATCACACTCACAGCAGCTTGTCCTTGGCAGTCACATCCTGCCCCAGCTGCAATTGCAGGCAGCAGGGTTGATGCTGGCAGTCCGGACTGCTGGCCACAAGGCTTGCTGGTCCTGTGGAAAGAGAGGAAGCTCTCTCAGGGGGTAAGCATGGAGCCAGGAGTTTTATCCTCTCCAACACCTCTGTACCTTCTACTTTCAGTAGATGTGTGAGTTTCCAGACCAACCCCCACTCTTGTCTTCCACCCCTACATTATATGCTGCATGGTGCTTGCAGGGCAGAGGGGGTTACTTACATGGGACACAGAGGTACTTATCCTGTCTCTTCCCTTGCTAAACTGTTGACTGTCTGCTGGCCTCCAAGGCTTCCGCTTCAGCCTCTGCCATATCTTTGATGGGTTTTGCAGTTACCCATTTTTAAATCACAGCTAAAGGTGCCAGCTGCTGAGGTCTGCTTTGCACAGCATACCCCTGCAGTGGAAGACCAGCCTTACAGCAGTTCAACCAAAAGCTGTAAGCAGTAATGACAGAATGTTTAAAAATGAAATGTTCCTTCTCCTAAACAGATCTGCTTAGAAGAGGAAGAGGTGAAACGAAGTTACCTCGCAGTGCACAGTGCACTGAAGAATTAGTTGTTAAGTGAAAATGGCTCTCTCTTCCCTTTGCAAGTATTTGAACAGGAAATCAAAACACCATAACCAGTATGTCCAGCTTTCTAGCACATTCCAGAAAGGTACCAGGACATCACTGACAATTTCCCTAAATAATGTTGATTTGCTTTCTGAAATACATTCTTGTACAGAGGGAATTTTTACCTCACGTGTTGAAGTTTAAGCTCCCTTTGCATTTTTATCTTCAATAAGATGCATAGAAAAATCTTTAACCTCTATCCATCAGAGCAGAAGATAAAACCATCCGGTAAAGAAATTCAGCTCAGAATCTTTACTTTTGGTGAAATTATCATATTCAGAAGTACTAACTGATGAGAAAAGCCAGGTTCAATTAAACATTCTGGTTTCAGGCAATCCCTCGTACAACTGCGTATTAGTCTCGAAAATGTCCAATGCTTGCTTTATCTCTCCAGGGCAGAGGAAGTTAATTCTAAAATTCAAATACATCCCTGCAAGAAGACTGGAGTAGGAAGAGGAAAAACTGCTCTTTAGCTAATCGGGGAACGGGCAGCTGTCCTGCACTGGGAGGTGCCAGTCCCTTATAGACCCAGTGAGACACACACTCGGGCTCTGCAAAATATCACTTAAAACGCTTATTTCTGGAGCTAGAATCATAGAGGGAGGACGGTGTAGGTGGTTTTAACACCCTTTGGATGCCAGCACCTGCAAGCCGTGCGCCATCAAGCAGCTTCCACCCAGCAAGCCCCATCCTCCGAAAGGGTTGTCCGTTTGAGCTGTGACAGCTCTCTTCTCCTCCAAAACGGGAGCGGCCAAGTCCTCCGCGTCCTCCGAGCCCGCCGCCGCTCAGGGCGGTACGTGGCGCTCACGTCCGGCCGTGCCTCGACGGCGGAGTTCGGCACGCAGCCCGGGCTGGAGGCCGCCGCTTCCCTTCCTCACGGCCGCGCGAGGTCCCGGTCGCTCCTCGGCGACGCGCAGCACGTCCGCGGGCAGCGCCCAATCCGCCCCTCGCTGCTCGCCGTGCTCCGTCTCGCTCGGCGCCTTGTCGGCCCGTGACATCCCACGCGGAAGGCCGGCCGATCCCCGGCCCGGCTCGCACGGCAGCGCACAGCCGCGTACGGGCGCCGTGCCGTCGCTCCCCGAGCTCCAGCGGCGCGCCGCCCGCGGAGCTGCGCAGTCCGGGCACGGCCCTTCCCTCAGCCCCCCGGCCCTCCCCCTCCGCGGCCCGCGCCGCTCCCTCGGCCGCCGCCCCGCCGCCATCCCGGCCCGAGCGCCCGACCCGCGCCCGGCCCGCCGGGAGGGGTGGAATGCGGGGGCGGGACCGGAAACACGTGCTGTAGGGGGGCGGGCCGGACGCCGCCACTTCCGGCTCGGCGTGTCCCGGTGCGGCCAGCAGTGAGTATGAGAGCGGCGCCGCCCTGCCCCCTCCCGCCGCCTGCCCCCGGCCCGGCCGCGCTCCCTCCCGGGCCGCCCGCCGGCCGCTCCCGGCTCCCCGCGGCCCCCCGCGGCTGCTTTCCGGCGGTTCCCGTGCCGCTGGGCCCGGCTCGTTGGCCGGGTGCCTCCCTTCCGCCGCGGCGCTCCCGGCCCGGACCTCGCGTTTCCCCCGGCGCGGGCCGGCCCGGCTCACGCGGCGCTGCCTTCGCGCTGTGTGGCTGTGCAGGGGCCGAGCCGAGCCTCCCGCCCTGCCCTGCCCTGCCCTGCCCGCTCCCTGCGCGCTCGCACCGCTCGAGGCCCGTCCCCGGCTGAGGACGTTGGACTGAGCAGAGGGAAAAGCCTTCCCAAGGGCCGGCATAAGCTCTGCGTTTTGTTGTACTCCGTTGTGTTGTGTTTTTGTTTTGTTTTGTTTTGTTTTGTTTTCCTCGATGGTCTCTGGAAGGTGTAGGTCTCCTTTTCCCTCTTCCAATGTTCTGGTCTTTCCTTTGGATTCGTTTGCAGCGTGTATAAAGAAGTGACAGGAAATAAACGTTTTCTCAAACACAAGTCAACGTTAAAAAAAAAAAAAAAAGAAATCAGTTTTCTATCAGCATAGAGCAGTGCACGTCATTCTCGTCAGAAACGAGTGGCTGAACTTAGCTGGAAATAGCTGGCAGTAAGTGTAAAGGTGAGGGAGCTTTGTGGTGAATGCTCTGTCTTTCTCTCTGTCCTATTTGTAACCGAGGCAGTAAGTGCTGTAGGCCCTTCTCAGGGCTCACTTCCTGAAAAGCTGTGGGGAAGGAGTTCAGGCAGCTGTTCTGAAGTGTTTTACCAGCAGGGCACTTCTGCTCTGCTTCCAGTGCGCCCGTCCAGGAGCTGCTCTGCTGTCTGGGGCAGCACCTCTCACCCCAGCCATCCAGACAGAGTTGTTGCTTCCTGCTTTGAGCACAGCTGGGTTATCCCTGGTGCCCAGATGAGAGCTGTGTTACATATGCTACAGAAACACGGTGCAGGTGAAGAAAAGAGCCCACTCCCAACACTGAGCTGTGGTAATGACTGTGTTGTTGTGGTGTCTGTTTGGCATTTGCGTGCCTTCACAGGGTGCGCGAGAAGAACAAAGACATGATCTTCACTTTGATGTTGTGCTTCATAAAAGTCGATGGTTTTGACTGCTGCTGTCAATGACAAGGAGGTGTGCTACTTCTGAGGGAGGGCCCAGACACACTCCTCGCAGGTGAAATGAAGGATTTCACTTTACTGTGCTTCTAGATTTAAAGTCTTTATCAATTTTGTGCCGGCTGTACAGGTGCAGTGCCTTAACAGTCTGAAGTACTGGTCAGCTTGCATGTTACAAATATGACTAAATAGAAAACCAGAAAAGAAAAATGTTTTGCACAAATCTATACAGACTACTGATGCTCCCATGCTGATATCTTAACCTCTGTTCTGGTACCAACCTGTGATTTTAGCAAGTTTTTCATATTTTCTTCAATATATCTTTCTTTTCCATTTTTTGTAGTTGTCTCACTCTGTATCAGAGATACTGATTATAAGCATTTGTTTTTCCTTTACTCCTTAAGACACCAAAGAATATATTTGTTGCTGTATTTTCAGTACAGCCTCTCTCATAAAATATTACATTTTATATTACTGCACAGGCCAAGCAGGAAGCAAGAGAAATATTGAAATGCTGGAATTCACTCGTGGTTTGTGATGGGAACACTGCACTTATCTGAAAAGTAATTTTTTGCAACACTAGAGGATGAAATAATCTCTTTTTTTTCCGTTATATTTATTTCTTTGTTTGTTTTCAAAAAAGACTCAGTACGTGAAGTTAGGCACCAGGTGAAGTTGAAATGGCAAGAGGAGGAGGGAAGGAGGCTGTTGTCCTGTGAGCTCTGTAAGTGCGCAGGAGTTGATGTTAGAGAGCAGAAGTAGTTAAGGAGACAAAAGGAGGAGATGGTGGGAAGAAACAAAGCAGATGAAGCAGAAGTAACATGGGAAAGACTGGCCTGGGAATGTTACTGGCTCTTATTGGAAGCATCTTCTGTGTTCACCTAAAATCTGAGCATTCCAAACTGATTTGAAGTTTTGACTGAGAGGGTAGCTTCCCACATGCAACCTTATCACTGCTCTGATTAGCTAGCTGGTGCTCCTCTCTTTTTGCCTGCAAGTCACCATAAGCATCTCATTTCTGACTGCAGCTGTACAGCTGCCAATGTTTGCTATTTTACCAAGTAAGGAGTTCCATTTGACTGAACTAAACAAAATGTGCTGGTGAGCTGTCCTTGTAAATCTCCTGAGAAAATGCCATCCCTACCCCTCAGCAATTTCTAGATATGGCCACCTGGAGTTTTGTTCAAGGATGGTTAAAAGAAACTCAGATTGCTGTGGTTTGGGTTTTGGTTTGTTTTTCTTTTTTACATTATTAGCCCTTCACTTGAAGTTCCTTCTTAAGGCCTACCAAAGAAGCAGTCAGATGCTTTTGAGGAAACACATGCAGTGTGTTCAGGTAGCAGTAGGATTCCAGTTGATGAGGGAGTGGAGTTCTCATGGGACCCAGTGATTTAACTTGTTTTGTGGTTTATTTTTGTCTTTGTCTGGCTCTGTTTGCATTGCCCATTACCTATCCTTTGCAAGCGTTTGCCTAAGTCTCTGTCATGCTCCAGCTGTAGCAAAAAGACTTTTACTGTTGCTTGTTGTCTAAATGTTAGTAAGAAATTGCTGTACTTCGTCAATCAGAAAAACAGCAAATCTTTCTGTTGAGCTTCTTTTCTCACTCTTGGAGGTAGTGTTTTTGCTTGCTTTGGTTGTGCTTGACATGTATTTCTCATGCTGAGTAAGTGGTAGGACACAGCTTTTGCCTGAATTCTACAGCAGTGAATGGTAGAAATTGGTATCTTTGCGTTATTTTGTTATGCTGATGTTTGATGTTTCTCATTTCTCAGTGTCCTGACATGTATGCTGGGCAAGACAAAGAGCCTTTCATAGTTCCATACCTCAAGGACCTGAAAGGAGGACGAGCTGTCAACTCTCCTGAGACTCAATAGACTGGGGAGTTTAGATCACAGTAAGTGTAGTGCAGTGCTGCCTCCTTTTATCCTTGTCCTTCACCATGATGTGTCTGTAAGTGAGCTACGTGGATATTCTTTGACACTTCAGATCCAACAGTCTTGTTTTGATGAATGTATTCAGATATGATTTACGTGGTGTGACTTTGTACAGTGGCTGACAGGAGCAGAGGAAAGAGTGAATTAAGTTGTGTTTTCTAGTATCACTAAAATTTTTGTATGCTTCAGGTGCATTCTTTGATTTCCTACTTTGCTGAAAGGTTTTTTTTCATCATTTCCCATAACTGTTGACTAATATTCTAAATTTGCCTTATTAGTTCCAGCTCTGCTTTTATTCTCATACTGTGGACTGAAGCAGGTTAAGATCTATGTGGAAGGGTGATCCCACTTAAAAATGAGAGAGTAGGGTTCTGATGCTCTTTGGATATGATCAAAGTGAGTGATTGTAAAAGTGACTTCATCAGCTATGCAGGTGAGATTGAAAAATGTATGCTGACTATCCTGGGAAGTGTTAAAGGCCTGAGTACGTGGGGCCCTGGGCAGCCTGGACTAGTGGATGCCCATGGCTGAAGGGAGGCTGAAGGTAGATGATCTTTAAGGTCTCTCACAGCCCAAGCCATTCTACGATAGCCATTACATTTTCCTGCTTTGGAGTCATGTCTTACATGTTTCTGCCTTTTTCTGTGTGTATGGGGAGGGGTGCTGGTGGAAGTTTTCCTCTGACTTTGAGTTTGACTTCTGATGTAGCAGGAATGCAGGTGAGGACAAGTTTATCATGATCAAGGTGGAACTCTGATGGGATGCTCACAGAAAGCTGCCATAGAGAGAGCTTTTGGGTTCTTTGAGTACCATACGAATTATTTACACCTAGGACTCCCAAATCTAACTTCTTATGCTTGTGTATCTGTATAGGGTACCATGTCACTTTCATAACCATAAAACTGATGTCTGGCAGTTTTTAATTCCCTGAAAGCGTGCTGGCTTCCGTAGGGCTAACTGTAACACAGAAACAGATAGACTTTTTAGAGAAAGTATCTTCTTTCCTCTCCTCCATGCATGATATGTGCATGTAAATTAAATTATGCAGCCCACGAAGTAGACAAAGTAACTTCAGAATACCTTTGAATTTTATGTCTGGCTAGTGGGTATATGGTCAACTCCAGAAATAGCTTTGACTTGGTCAGGATCACAGAACAGATGATGCTGGAAGGAAATTCTAGAGGTGATCTAATCCAACTACCTTGAGTCAAAGCAGTGTAACTGGGTGAAGTTTGTTCAGAGCCCCATTAAATTTGGAATTTAATTAACGGTAGAGCTTCCACAGCCTTTCCAGGCAATACAGTAAAAAGGTTTTTTCTTATCTTCAAGAGAAATCTGTATTTTATTTTGTGCCTGTTGTTTCTTGTCATGTTGTTAGACACAACTTGGAAGAACCTGGGTCTATTTTCTTTGGTCCTCCATCAGGTTCTTATGTACATCAGCAAGACACCCTGAGCCTTCCACGCTGAACTGTCCCAGCTATTGCAGCCTCTCATGTGGCAGATGCTCCAGTCCCTTAATTGTTTTAGGCACTGCACTCACTCTAATACATCCATGTTTTCCTGCTGTGGGAGAGCCCAGAGCCATACACAGCACTGCAGGTGTAAAGTGAACGAGTGATAGAATATTCTGAGATAGAAGGGACCCACAAGGATCATCAAGTGCCTGGCTCCTCAGAGAACAACCCAAAAATCAAACTACACATCTGAGAGCATTAT